AAATTCGACCCCAAAACGAGGTCTAAATCAAAGAAAATTGAAAAGCCCTAATTCTACCCTTTTCCCCCAATTTACACCTTAAGTTACATGAATTAGGTCTAGGAATTTGATAAATGATGATAGAGAATGAAGAAAACGAGTTAGAAAATACTTACCCAAGAAGCTTTGGTGAAGAATCGCTCTAAAAGTCACCTAGGGGCTGTGGAGAAGAAGAGCTCGTGTGAAATTTGGGAATAATCCCGTCACTTGTCTGTTTTTGAGCTTTAAAAATCACTGGGCAAAAATGCCCTTCGCGTTCGCGGGAAGGGGACCGCGTTCGCGAAGGTTAAACTGGGCAGGTCATCGCGAACGCGTAGAAGGAAATGCTGGGGGGTCCAGGTTTGTTCAATGCGAACGCGTAGAAGGCCTCGCAAACGCGATGAGGGAGCAGCAAGTCTATGCGTTCGCGAACATCTGACTGCGAACGCGAAGAGGAAGTCTTTGGGGTCCTAAACTTGACTTACGCGATCACGATTATGGAGATGTGAACGCGTAGAAGGGGAACACCATGGGCAGTGCGAACGCGAGCCTAAGGCCGCGATCGCGAAGAAGAAAAGGCCTGTGCAAAAATTGCAGAAAATCTGCTATATTTCTAAGTGCAAAACCACTCCGAACCACCTCCAAATCACTCCTGAGCCCTCGGGGCTCCTAACCAAACACACATGCTAACCTAACAACATCCTACGAACTTAACCGAGCGATCAAATCGCTAAAATAACATCATAAACGAGGAATCAAACCTCAAAATCATCATTTTTCATTCTAACTTCATAGACTTCATATTTTAGATATTTAGGTCCGAGACACGTCCAATGACGTCCGATTTCGACCAAACTTTACAGAAAGCGCTTAACACATATTTAAGACTTGTTCCGGGCGTCGGAACCAAAATACGAGTCCGATACCATAGTCTTTTAATCAATTTTCATTTTCATTTTCCTTAATAATTCCAGAGAAACAATTTCACAGAAAAATTCTTTTCCTCGGGTTCTAGACCTCGGATTTCGACTCCGGGCACATGCCCGAGTCCCATATTTTTCTACGGACCCTCCGGGACCGTCAAATCACGGGTCCGGGTATGTTTACCAAAAATATTGACCGAAGTCAACTTTAATTATTTTAAAACTGCATTTTGAAATTTTTCACAGAATTTAACATATAATCTTTCCGGCTACGCGCCCGGACTACGCACGCAAATCGAGGCAAGTAAAAGGTGAGGTTTTCAAGGCCTCGGAAGCACGGAAAAAGAGAGAAATCCGGTGATGACCCTTTGGGTCGTCACAGACCTGGTCCATGACTGAGTTCATTTGTCATTCTTCAAAACTTCACCTGTTCTTGGGCCAACAGTAGCCATATGGGGTTTAAGAGTCGTGTTTAGGGGGAGAACTTTACGGGACAAGTGTTAGTGTGTCACTTGTGTTTGCCTCTTCATGAGGTTGTTCTCTCGATTTTTGTACTGTCTTTTTATATAGTGGATTGCTCATCTCCGTCGTGGATGTAGGTCAGTTGACCGAACCACGTTATATGTTTGTGTCTCTTTTGATATATTTCTCTTTGTTGTATGATTTATCATCGTTCAAAGTTTGCTTTGCTAGCTTCCGCATGACACCTGGTTTTTCCGGTCCTAACAAGAAGGACCAATTTTGCTGCCCCCGACAGAGATGCAACCGAAAATGAAACAGTCAGCGATAAAATCACCGTTGAATTACTCGTCTAAATGTTTCAATTATTCTCTAGTAATTACTCTGACAAATCACTGCTAAGTGCTTCGGTATCGCATCAATTTATGTTCGAGCAAATTCTCTTGCTTCAAAGATTCCTTGCAATGATATGGATCGTTTCCTCCATTTGAGATTTGAGATTTTCTTCTTTTCACAGATCTGAGTCATCTTTATAGATCTGGGTCGTCTTCTCCATTGATATAACTTTTCATCAAAACTATATTCATTGATACATTCATTATGCACGAACTAATACAGTTAATATAGCTTATATACAGTGTATACAGTATATTTTTCATTGCTTGTTTATATCCTTGTATACACCTCTGTTTTCTGTATTTTGCCTTGGTTGTATTCATTGCGCGAATAAATACAATTGATACAGGTTGTATTAGTTACACGAAAGAATACAGTTTACATATGTTATATTCGTTGCATGAATGAATACAGCAAATACAGATGCCTGGCAAAGGGAAAATTTACTACAAATAGTAAATACTAAAACAATAGCTGCAAATTATAATTAGCTATGAATTGTAGTGCTTTCTGTAAGTGGTTACAAAAATATTAACTTTTTCAATTTTTTCATATTTGGTAATCAAGATATTTTGAAAATTATTATTTTTAAAAGACTTTCCGGGTAGGAATAGGAAAACAAGTTTTATAAATAACTCAAGATCCTATCCATCAATTATTTCTATGAAGATATTTCATCATCTCAATCCAGTTTCACGACTACCCACAACTATTGTCGTCGCGCCATTGTTAACTAGCACCACTCACGACCACCATCTTTAACTACAACCACCATCACTATCAGTAGCCACAATCAATCGCCATCACCGCTAGCAATAATCACCATCAACCACCAATACCCGCAACTACCGCCAATTACCACCGATAATCACCACCATTAGCAACTGTCATATATCAGCACTCATAGCATTGGTGGCTACCACCATTAACTTTGACCATCAAATATCACAACTATCACATGCCATAATCAATTATTGCCATTATTAACTACTATTGTCAGCTACCATCACCACTAGCTATTATGTGCTCACAATGGCCACAACTATCACTATCAGTCACTACTGATGTCAGTCAGCATCCATAACCACCACCATTAGCCATCACCATCACCAACTACTATTAATATTTATTTTTAAAAATAGCCATAAAATTTGAGATGGGCGCGCGTTAACCGTTGCTCTCGGCGCGTGATAGCAAGGATTGCGATTGTGACCGGATACAATGGGTCGTCGCCGAAAAACTATGCATGACACTACTATATCGACGGGGAAGCTAATTACTCCAGCAAATAGTGTACAAAAGGAGTTACCACCACTCACATTTAGTAGTTTTCTACCACAGAAATACAAATTGATTGAGGAAGCTCATGACACAAGCAGTTCTGATGGAGATGTGCAACTTCAACCTGTCAAAGCGGAAGGAACAATGATACAGGCAGCTCGGCGATTACAGTACTCTGAAGCAAGTGGATTGGAGAAGCCAACTCCTACAGCAACTGACATTGTACTAGGGAATCACAACTCACAAATGGGTAAACCCTTATCGTTTGTTCCTCCAATTGATAGAGATGGTAAGAGAATTGTTAAATTGAGCGAGGAGTATCTACAATCTCAGGCAGATTATTGAAAAACCCCTCTAATAGGGTACATAGTTATGAAAAAGCTATGGAGAATTTTGTTATGAATGTGTGGAATTTTGTTACTAAACCTCATATTCTGATTCATTCTGAGGCATATTGCATTTTCAAATTTCACACCATAGCTGATAGAGACCAAGTTCTTCAGTCAGGACCATACATATACAAGAACAAACCAATGGTACTAAGGCTATGGGAAATTGATTTCTCATTCAGCAGAGGCATTCTGAGCATAATACCAGTTAGGATGATATTTCCTGGGTTACTAGTAGGTTATTGGTCGAATGAGGCTCTAAGTAAAATGGCCAGTGTGGTGGACAAGCCCCTATACACTGATAAATTCACTGCTCATTATGACAAGATATCCTATGCTAGGGTTCTTGTGGAGGTAGATGCTGCATATTCTCTTCCAGACCAGATAGAAATAGAATCACCTTTTGGCCCAATGGTGCAGACTATTGAATATGATTGGAAACCTGTATTTTGTAATGATTGTCTGAAATTTGGTCATGATTCTATTAACTATTGGCACAACACAAAGTGTAATGAGGAGGTGGATAACAAGGAAGAGGAAAGGCCAAGAAGACAAAGGAAAAGAACAAAGAAGCAAACTAAGACTGTCAAGCAAACATTGCTGGTGAAGAAGCCAGAAGTGAGTGCTGAAATAGAATCAGAACCACAGAGGGAAGTAGTCCTACAAGCATACCATGATCATGAAATTGAATGCACTGAGATGGGTAGAGTGAGTATAGAGCCTATACAACAGAAGATTTCTATGCCATGTCAGATAAAAGATGGGATTAACATACAGGATAACATATGCTGCAATCCTGTGAATGAAGATTGCAATGATAAAGGGAAGGCATCTGCTGAGATAAAGGATGCTAGGAGAAGAGGACAACAGGAGGACCCAGGTCTATTTTGCCCTTTAATTTCCAACTCACTATGATCATTGTTACTTGGAACATTAGGGGCCTAAATCATGCCCATAAACAGAAAGAGGTCAAAACCTTTCTGGCTAAAAATAAGGTAGATGTAATGGGGTGTATTGAAACCGGAGTTAAAGAACATAAGGCTAAGAAAATACAAAAAAAGATTGCTCAGGGGTGGAATGTTTACTCCAATTATCCTTATGTTGTGAATGGTAGAATTTTGATACTGTAGAGAGCACACATACAATTACAGATTATCCACACTACAGATCAATTCATCCATTGCCTAGTGGAGGATACCAGCACTCAAATTACAACACATCTCAGTATCATTTATGCTCAGAATGATGGCCAACAAAGGGAGAATCTATGGGGGGACCTTAAACAGCTAAATATGCAGGCTCAGGAGACATGGCTACTTAGTGGATATTTTAATAATGTGCTATCCTCTAAGGATAGAATAGGGTCCCCTGTAACTACTACTGAAACACAGGGATTCACATATGTGATTGATTCTCTACAACTTACCCCTCTTAGAGCTAAAGGATGGCATTACACTTGGACAAACAAACAAGGTACTGGCTCAAGAGTATATAGCAAGATAGATAGGGCTTTGGGAAACTACCAGTGGATACAACAATATGGTCATGTAGAAGCAGATTTTTTGAATCCATCACTCTCTGATCATTTCCTTATCCTAATCAAATATGGTCGACAGAAGCTATTACATCCTAAACCATTTAGACTATACACAAATGTCATGGAACTTCCACAATTCCAGAATATTATTCAGCATGCTTGGAGTCAGAATTATGATGGCACACCTGTGCAACAGATCTGGTGCAAGCTGAAGGCTATGATGACATAGCTGAGAGACTCTAATGCCTATATGGCCTCATACAAACTAAAACTTGAGCAGGCAAGAGAAAAATTGGATATTGCTCAGAACCAAATTCAGCAGGATCCTTTGGCACAGAACCTATTTGATTTAGAGAAAGTCATAATAGGTAAATTAGATTATAATTAGGCCCTAAAGAACCACAATTTTGTATAGCTTTTACGGTAAAAAGTGATAACAAGATGCTCTGATTAGTGCTTTTCATGCGTTGCAGGCTATATCCAATAAAAGAAGTCTGTGGAGTACTTTTGGGATCAACTACGGAGAAAAGGAGGCCAATCATACAATATCCACAAAGTGCACCAAGCGAAGGGACAAAACCAGAACTGAAGCTGGTCTGCCGCTGTCTGGGCGTAACCGCGGTAGGACCGCGGCAGGACGCGTAAACTTCAGGGACCAAAGTGCAAAATACGGGATTTTAAGCCCTAAACCCTATATTAAACGAAGGAAGCCGGCCAAGAAGGAAGAGACATATTTTTTTGGACATACTTTTGACATAATTTTAGACCTAAGGAGGCTAAGGAGACCGGAGATTTGACCTAAGGAATCAAGAACACAATAGGAGCAAGGCGCGGAATTCTTCAACGAGTTTTTCCATCTTCTTCCTATTTTTTTATTGTTGGTTATGATTTTTAGTATTGTAGTTTTTACATACTATTATGAATAGCTAATTCGTTTTCTAGGGTTTTGATGGAACCTTTTGGGGATGAATTGGTTGTTATATTAATATAGTTTTGAATTGGTTGTTTATCTCTATTTGTTCAACTACGTTTTGATTGTGGTTAATTGAAAGGATCCTCAATTAGTCGTTCCTATTTATTATGTATCTTCTTGAGAGAGAGTGCATATTTAGGTAGTTGTTTGAACAACATCACTCCCGGAGTATAGGCGAGAGTCATAACCGAGGGTTTAGAGGTTGGATTAGAGATAACGATACCTCGGGTGCGATCTAAGTGAACTGTAATGTGAATCTAGCTAGCGTAGCTTGAGAGAATGCGTTTAGTAAATTATCATAATTGCTTGAGAGAGATTTATGATAGCTGGAGAGTTCATGATTGATAGAGGCAACTAAGTCAAAGCTATAAGAAACATACAACTAATGAAATCAACAATTGGGGAAATCATAACTCTAGACCTCCTTAATTTAGTCTCCAAACCTTTGTCTTGTTAGTTGATAATTTTACCGTTTTATAGTATTTGTTGGTTAATTAGTTAGATATAAAATCTTAATTTTATAAATTTAGAAAATTGTTCAAACTTGTCTTCTTTGCGGTATTGAACAATTACAGCGAAACTTAGTTCTCTGTGGATTCGACTCCGGACTTTTAGACCGGATTATATTTGCAGCGACCGCTTATCCTTTTAGGACTAGAGTTGGCGTGATCAAAATTTTGGCGCCGTTGCCGGGGAACTAATGGTGTAGCTGTAGGTGTATATATTGTTAGGTTACAAGTTTGAACTTTTATTTTTGTTTTGTTGTATTTGATTTTTTTTATTTTTGTTTTACTTGTTAATTTGAAGAAAATGGCATCCTGGAATTAATGGAATTTTGATGTTGGGTAATTCTGCTTTTAATCCTCCTTATGTATATTGTGAAGAAAACTACCCATGGCAAAATTATCAAAATATTCCCGAATGTGCACCAACTCAATCTTATGTGTGGAATGTATGTGATATGTGTGGTGGACTAGATGGTCACTTTCATGGTTGTGCTTATATTTCTTATCTTTCTCAACCCCTTACTTTGATGGCTTCTTCTTTTTATTGTGAAGTTAATAGGAAAAAGAACCCAGGGATGATGCTGAAAGAGATCAAGGATATGCTAAGGTGCCTTGTGGAACAAAATGAGAGAAACAACTGCACATACAAAGGCAAGATGCTGCTATTCGCAACCTGGAGGCACAAGTGAGTCAACTAGTTGAGGTATTTAATGTTCAACAAGCCAATATTGTGGATAGTAGCAAGAGAGCATGAATTATATGCTGAAATTGAGGTGGCAAATGGAGGAGGTCAGAGTAGAAAACCACAGCCTAACCAACTAGAATTTGAGGATGTCGATGTTGAAGAAGTAATACTTGAGTCAACCAAGGACGTTGAAGATTCCAAATTTAGTTGACTCTAGTGTGATTGGTGTTGAGGAGGTTAAAAATCTTGAAGTTCATGTATTTGAGCGCGTTGGGCCTCATTCCAAACACTTCTCTACATTATGTTCAGACGGTGAAATGGAAATTCACCCTTATGAGCATAAAAAGGAGTCCAAGGAAGAGGTAGATGAGCCTTATATTTTGGATTTCTCAAGGCCGTCTAGGCAAGGTGACACTCCTCGGTCGAGAGCCAAAAAGTGCATAAAATTTTATCTAATTTTTGGACTCGCAAAGAATTTGTACCGCCCCAGAGAGATTATCAATAAGCTTGAAGCAAAACTTGGGGTTCAATTCATAAGCTCAAGGTGGAGGCAAAAAGTGATTCGCGTCGTTCCGCGACGTTAAATCAAGCGCTTGTTGGGAGGCAACCCAGCTTTATTGCTTTTTTTTTTAGTTTTTTTAATTGTATTATTTTGTAGTGTTCAATTTTTTTATTTTTTAGGAGAATGGAAAGCAAAGGTATTAGGAGGATGCAACAACAAACCAAATGGTTGGAACTAAGTGTGAGGTACCCGCACGAAGGACCAAGCTTGGGAGAAGTCTGAGTACCCCATGATGACGTCCAAATCCACTACTAAAAAGTAATAGACACGGTCGCATGCAATATAATTTACCCAACTATGAGTCGGGGTCGAATCCCATAGAGAACAATGTGTAGGCGATTAGGAATGTAAGAAAATTATCGCTTATCGCGCAATGCCAAACAATAAGAATTTGGTTTTGAAAGTGTTTTATATCTAAATGCGGAAATGTAAACTAACCTAGAAAGCAAGTAAAATGATCAATGGCTACAAGTATGGTTGCATCGGAAATTACACTCAAGTAACGATCCAATGTATTTTATGATTTTACAAATATAAGCGAGTTTATGTTAATTAGCCACGGATAATAATTCTTAATTAGCTTCTTCCGAAGACTAACAAGACTTCCTAATTGAATTATCCCTAAAACAATTAGAAGATTAAGCACACCCGGAATGGCTACAAGTAGTTCAATCCTATCCCTAGGTAGAATCTATAAAATGAGGGTTAACGTCTCAAGTTCTTATTAATTAATCTTTCCCAATCCCAAATTATCTTTTCCAAAATTAATTCGGAGTTAATGGGCGAGTCTTAGGGTTAGCTAATCCCTTTGGAAACATTAAAGAACAAGAATAATTAAAGAAATAATAACTCACTTCATAAACGGATAAAAATCATTCAATACATAAGCACAATAAGGTATTTAACCCACACTTTAAATATGAGTATTTCTATAAACAAGATTCAAGTGTTGGAAATAAATACTACACACTTAAATATTCAATACAAAACAAGGAAATGAAGAAATAAACATAAATTGGTAAGAAATCTTAACCACAAGCTTCAATCTTCAAAACCCAAGTGTGTGTGCAAAACCCTAGCTTCAATACTTGTTATCTCTAGCTCTATGAACTTAAAATAAGCCAAAGATATGCCAAAGATATCTTACAAATGAGCTGATCTGGGTATTAAAGGGTTTGGGGTCAAAAATGTAAAATTCCAAAACTGCCCAGTTTTCACGCCCAGTTCTTCATCGCGTTCGCGTTAACAGCTTCGCGTTCGCGAAGGTTTGATATTCTGATCTTACGCGTTCGTGCTTGGACCTACGCGTTCGCGAAGCTTTGGGTCTGGAATCTATGCGTTCGCATTCAGGTATACGCGTTCGCGAAGTTTTGGATTTTGAACCATCGCGTTCGCGTTTGTCCCTTCGTGTTCGCGTAGGTTAGGTTTCCAGCTCCTTCGCGTTCGCATTGTGCCTTCGCGTTCACCAAGGGCAAATCACTAGCAGGCATCATTTTGTTCATTTTAGCTCCTTTTGATCTGTTTTCACTTGGTTTCTCCGCCCTTTACTTCTAAATCACTTAGAACCTGTAAAATGGTAGTAAACGACATTAAGCACACGATTTTATCACTTAAACATAGCAGAAAGTATAGGTTTAAAGACAAGATAAGCTGGTAAAATACCAACTTATCACCCCATGAGTTGTTAGTGTTTCGGCCTTTGGCCTACCAGGGAGTCTCTTTTACCCTTTTATTAGTTATGGTGTGCATTGGGGACAATGCACAATTTTAAGTGTGGGGTGAGGAGATTGTCTGGGTGACTTTCTATGCTATTTTAGTTGTGTTAGTTTAATTAAATATTTTTTTTTTTAAAAATTATTGGACTTTTCCTGATGACGGATCTATTAGACAATTTTCTTGAGGGATTTAAGTCTAAAGAAAAAGCCAAAAAGATTTTTTTTTAATTTTATTTTCTTTTTAGGTAGTGTAGTAATTCCCCCTTGGTTTTTCTTTTGACCACGGTTCTTTTCCAAGGGCTTTTCTTGAACCGGTTTTGGTAGATTTTTCTTTAATATTTTTTAGGGCCCTTAGGACTCTCTTGGGCTAAGATGGGTGAGGGCAAGAATGCATCCCGTAGTGTACATACCTGCAAATAACTAAAACAAACTTGAGGGTGCGACGTCTAGGCTCACTTGTAGGCTCATAATCTTATGCCTTAATTTTGCACACCTTGTCTTACTTGAACGCTCACGTGAGTGTGTTGACAAACTAATTCGGAATGAGTTACATGCCAAGTGTGTGTGAGGTAATACATGTATTCTGTGCTTGCATGCGATCCCTAGAACTTGCCCTGTGTGTGTGCAAAGCGAAATAGAAGTTGTTTGGTCTTAGAGATGATTTAGGCATTTCTTTGTGTAGCCTATATAATTATGAATCCACCCGTACATATTACCATAGTTAACCCCCTCGAGCCTGAAGCCTGTTTCTTTGATAACCTTACAATAACCTACATCCCTGTGTTTGA